GCCACGCCAAGCCACGCCCCTCCGCGAGCACCGACGCCGCAGGCGGCGCTCCAGTAGCAGCAGCGGCAAGCGCAGGTCCGCTATTCCACAACTTCCTCCGCGCAACCTCAGCCCCGCTTCCCTCTCCGCAAAGGCTGCTGGGAAGTGTAGTTCCGGTACTCCGAAAGGCCACTCGAGTTGATGCAGAAGGGCGGAAAGGACTCCAAAGGACTACGCATGCGCTATACCAGTAGCGGCGAACCGCAGCGTCGCGAGCGGTGGGCGGTGTAGGTCCGACGGGGAACCGCCAGCATTTGGAGGGGTGGGGGATGTTACGGTTTGGCTGGATTTGATCTTATTGATCATTAATTTCTGTATTAACACTAAATGTGCATGGCGGAGACTAATTTTCTCTAGTTCCACTTTTGACCCCGAGGCTAGGGTGTGTGAAGGAAATGAATTTGAAGTATTAACATTTTCACTTTCCAAGTTCCCATCACCCTGTCATAACCACTGCCACCGAATGGATTCTGACCCATAACAACTCTATAGGTAAGAGTAGAACTGTACATCTTTATGGGGTCTCATATTCCTCCCAAGGAGCACCTTGTCGTTTCGAACTACTGCTTAGCCTAAATAAAAATCGCAAAACTAAAGCCAAAATTCTATATTGGTGGCTTTGAACCCAATGTTTGCAGTTGATTAGCAACTCATAACAGAACCACCACGACTCCTTAAAATAGAATTAGCAGTTGGTTTTCAATGTTCCCACTCACATTATAGTTTATAAAATAAATCACTGATGTTAGGCTGAGTATTAATTTGGGGGGGGGGTGTTAGGCAGTGCCTTACATAACAATATTTGTTTAACATGCCAACAGTCAATGAAGCACACCACCACCAATGCTTTAGAAGAAAGATGTGGCAGTCCACTTCTATTATTATCAGCCTTAGGACCCTTATGTGACAGTTCTACAGCCATGTACAGTAGCTATGGTTCAGAATTAATTTAATGGTGACGGTTTGGTTTGGTTGTGAGGGTAATAATTATTGCTTAATACTTGGTATCTCTGGCACTTCCAAGTGTTTTATGACTCCAGTTGTTTTTCTAACAAGTAAAGTTAAGATGTGTAGATTAAAAATGAGAACAGATTTACCTATGCAGATCCTCAAAAGCTACATTTAAAATTTTTTTAAATGAATTCAAAGATTCATTGTAGTTTGACCACCACTTAGAATTTTTTTTCACTTAGAATTTTTATTTCCAACTACACTGAATTAAATATAAACTCACTGATATTGAGTCTATTCCAATTTTTAGTGTCCCTATAGAACAGAGTAGAATTGCCCATTTGTTTTTGATACTGTAACTCTTTACAGAACTGCTGCCCTTCTAGTTAGCAGCCTGACTCATAACCACTTTACCACCACTATACCACCAAAGCTCCTTATGTTGCATCAGATATACTGATACACTAAATATATAGATGATGGTGATATACTGACAATACAGCTAATTCTTACAGATCCCCAAGTGATTTCTTATATATGGATACACATTTTGTTAAACTCTAAATTCTGATTCAGTACACTGGTGGGGGGGGGGCAGTAAAAATGAAATGCTCGCACGGGTCAAACCAGACTGAACCATTTAAAAGCCTTCTTTAATTATTGGGGCAAAACTTATATTTAAAAATTCTCCTAATATATTCATGAGTATCCAAAGGAACCCTTACTTTAATCAGGTGCAGGTAAGATTTGGCTGTTAACACTCAAATTACCATGAGGTCATCTCCACAAAAAGCTCAAACCCGTCAATTCCGTGATTCTGTTACAGACAACCTAGCAAGAGGACATCATCTAAATGTGAGGGAAGCTTTATGCCTGACACCCAAATGTCTAATATTAGGAAATGTGACTAGGCATTCCACCAACATAACATCACCGAAAATGCTTAGCTAACAATGGAAAAAGCTTTGTTAGTTTGTTTTAAAGAAAAATGCAAGAAACGAGGGGGTACTCCCCCACAATGGATTTTTTTTCACCAAAGCAATGTATTTACTTTTTTTGTTTTTAGAAAACAACCGTCTCACCTTCAAAGTACTCTCCATTACACTTAACTACATTTGTCAAATCTGTGATTCCTTTCCTGGAAACATTTTCCAAACTTATCTGTTTGGATGGCTGACAGTACCTCCCTTGTTTTTTTTTCCTTCACTTCTTCTACGATGTTTCCCTGAAAGTAAGACATCCCCTGAAAATAAGACCTACTTACAGTTTTGCCTCTCGTTGAAATATAAGGCATCCCCCGAAAATAAGACCTCCCCAAACATAAGCCTCCCCATAAGAAGGACCCTAAAGCTACTGTAACTCTGGACTCTGGACCTTAGCAGTAGGCGCCAGCCACACAGCTCACTGTTGGCCACAGAGCAGCCAGAGCTGACAGGAAGTGTGAGTAAATGTGCCATAGATTATGAGTAAATGTACCATAGATTGCTGTACAAGGAAATAATGGTAGTAACAAGAAATTCTTGATACTGTAGGATTCAGTTTGTCTGGTTATGCTGGTTTGTGATGACAACTACTACCGTACCATACACAGGTAATAAATTTCTTTTTTTTGGTTCAACAATAAATGTGTACTGTATTCTTATTCATGGAAAAATAAGATATCCCCTGAAAATAAGACCCAGCACATCTTTGGGAGCAAAAATTAATATAAGACACTGTCTTACTGGGGAAACAGGGTATGTCCCTTTTTATTGACAGAGACAAAAAGAAGTTGTACAGAGTGAGGTCAGGTGAGTAAGGTGAGTGGGCCAAGAGAGGCATACTGATTTTTGCCAAAAACTGGTGCACTGGGATGGCTGAGTGAGCAGGTGCATTGATGTGGTGGCAAAACCAGTCTTCTATCTGCCACAAATCAGGTCTTTTTTGTTGCACACTGTTACACAATCTATTCAGAATCACTAAATAGAAAGCTTGACTAACAGTCTGACCTGGTAGAATGAACTCCAAGTGCACTATCCCTCTCACATCAAAAAGCTAAATGAGCATCTTCTTGATCTTTTATTTCACTTGACAAGCTTTTGGGGGTGAGGTGACAATGGTGTCTTCCACTGGATGGATTGGTGTTTGCTTTCAGGAGCATAAGAAGCACCATGTCCCTTTAGCAGTTAACGATCTTGGGAAAAAAGTCTGGGTCGCGTTGGAGCTGTTCTTTCAAAAGGGGGCATGTTTCTACTCGACACTCTTTTTGTTGATCAGTGAGAACCTGAGGCATAAATTTTGCAGCAGTCCTTCTCATTCCCAAATGTTAAGTTAAAATTCGTTGAACTGAGCTCCCAGATAGTTCAGATAACTTCTCTAGGTCTTCAGTGGTCTGTTGTCAGTCTTCGAGCACAAGTGCATGAATTTTTCTACATTTTCGTCTGTTTGGGAAGTTCACGGACGTTCAGAATGTTTGTCATCAATCAACATTTCATCTTTTTTGAAATGAAAAAACCACTTGTACACTTGAGTTTTTCGCATACCACTTATAAGCTGTGTCACAACAGTTTCTGCGACATTTTTCCCGAGCAGGAAACAAATTTCACAGCAGTACACTCTTCTCTTAAATCGGCTATCACAAAGAATGAGGTTTGAGCCAAATTGCTTTTATGAAAAAATTCACTGTGACCAGAGAGAGACCCTTCCCAGGCGATGCCAATGGGTGTGCTAACTCAGAGCGAGTTGCTTGATGCGGAAAAAATGCATACTATTGCTTTCTTCTGTTGTTTTTTTTGAGGGTAGGGTAGGGGGAGGTACACCCTTGTATATCTAATATGATCAGAATTCTATCAAACTACCAAGGAAATCATGCCTGAAGTAGAAAATCTACTTAACTATTAATAGTGATTTGCTATGGGTAGCTATACTATGGTTATTGAAACCCACTATAGAATATTTTATCAGAGACACATCTGTAGTCCAACAAAACCAGGCTTACTTAGCTTGGTATAACAAAGGAAAACAAACCATAGGAAAACCATAAAGACTTGCTAAATCTTAGGTGATGAAGAATAGTTTAGGTTGAATTGTTTTTAAGTTTGGAATGGGCAGCATTGTTTTCTGATTGGCTCAGCGTTCAAAATGACAACTTTCAATTATAAGGCAATGTTTCTTACATGACTATGAGAAAATGTTTCTATCCTTTACTTGGCCTAGGGGATCCATTATTTCACTTTATCAATTAAGATCTTGGGCAGGGTCTATCATTGGATTTGATAACCTCCCCAAAGTGTCCTTTACAGTTTGGCCTATGTGACATCACTGCAGATTTTCAGACCATCAGCAGGGGCACTGTCATGGTTTCTCATCTTCTTTCAATGTATTACACATCAAAGAAGTATTGGCTTCCTTGCATTAGTTTCCATTGACTTTCTTGCTGCTTTCGCTGATTATTTATTAAGCCATCTGGATGAATATTGGAGCACAACATCATGGATGATTCTGGAGGTCTTGTTCTTGACTACAAGCACACCACCAAGAAACAAAGTACATGCAATACGGCAAGTTGGCCAGTGTGAACTTGAGATTTATTTAAGGCACATTCAACCCAGGCAGAAGAGTTCATGTGCAGCTAATACCAAATCTTATATGCTTTAGTTAAAGTAGAAATGCAGCAAAGGCAAATTTATTTCTAAGAACCACATATAGTGTAATTAAATGCTCTGGTGCCCTGGTGGTGTAGTGGTTATACTTTGGGCTGTGATATGCAAGGTGAGCAGTTGGAAATCACTAGCCACTCTTCGGTAGAAAGATGGGGCTTTCTCCTCCATAAAGTTACAGTTTCACAAACTCACAGGGACAGTTCTACCCTGTCCTA